TATATATATATATATATATATATATATATATATATATATATATATATATATATTAATGTTCAGTTAATATTGATATGTATTTCTAATCTGATAGCTGGAAAAAACGTTCGATTATTCACGGTGGTTTTTTTTTATAGAAATTTTTTAAATTCACTTTCCAACTCTGTTTTTCAATCTGTTTTAAAAAATTAAATGTGGAGAATAATTTGTAATCGGTCATCATGAATAACTTATCCAAAATTGCATTTCTTGCTTTTATAAGTTTAATATTTGTTGTAATAATTAACGTTAAATATTTACAAAACTTTCACCATATGCACATTTTGAATAAAAACAGCATTAATTGTACGGCTGGCATCCCTTGTATTTACGAAACTAATGTGGATTTGAGGTATTTTTAAATTACGACATTAATTTTGTAATTATTTCATTTTTGTGATCATCTGATAATAAAATTTAAAAAATCTTATAAATTTTAGGATTATAGTTATTACCTATGACCGAACATCCAGTGTTATGAAACTTCTAAACAATTTACAGTATTTGGATGTTGATGAAGATTTAGCTGTTTTGGAAATATGGATTGACCGCAATGCTAAGAATGAAATTAATAATGATATGTATAACGCTGTGTCTCAGTTTAAGGTCAATTTGTATCCATTCTCTCCGTTTCGCTGTCATTCAAAACAATTAATACCATTCATTTCCCGTTTTGCTCTTACTTTCATGCCAACAACTGTTTTTCATATTTTTTTCGTTATTTGGTAGCTTACTTTACAAAATTGTTCAACTGTTTTTAATGTCTTTGTGGTAGTAATGTTATAAAAACAATTTGCTGTAGTATTAGTTTATTATTTGATTGATTCATTAAATACTAATTTATTCACCCTTAAAACATTTTGTGCATGTTATATATACATGCAATCATTTATATAACTTTAAAATTAGTAAATTTTTTTTCACAACGTTTGTCGTATATAACTATCAATAAATATCAGTCATGTTTTTGGGCAAACAATTTCACTGAGCTAACAACCAACACAACCAATAAAGTTAAAGCATAAGTTCTTTAACGTTATACATGTCGAAAAAACTTACTGTGCTGTTTGTTTTCTTATATTTCGATATATGAAATACTGCTCCATATCAACTAAATATCATTATACAATATGTAGAAGTATTTATTTTTACCACAGTGGAACAAAGGCGTAACAAGAGTTCATAACCAAACAAGTCACGTTGGCCTATTGGGACAGTGGATTGACACCTGGAGACCAAAAGTTGCACCACCATTTGAAAAGAAAAATATGTCGCAAGCAATGTACCAGTACCATCCTCAGTACAGCAAAGAAATTGCTCTCATATTGGAAGATGATATGATGATTTCACCACAAGCTTATAAATTCATTAAAGCTGTCCACAAGAAATACAGCGGGAGACCGGACTACGCTGGTGTGTCACTGCAGAGCGATGAAGCTAAGGCTCTTAATAGCGGGAAACCGCTGCGTGGTTTGTTCAAATTACCTATTAATTTGAAGATTCAAATTTATACTAAATTAGTTTTTAAAAACAAAAGTAATTAAATATTTTTCCATCAACTTTTTAGTTAATTTTCATTTTGTCTAATGAATATAGCCCCTATAAACGAATCTGTCTTAATGTTCGTTTGCGTTGGAACTTGGGGATTTTCTCCATCTCCTCAGTATTGGGCTGAGTTTCAGGTTTATTTAAAAATTTTTTATGGCACATGATTTGATTAGTTGCGCACCGTCTTCAACCACAACGGCTCTTGTGTTGTTTGATGTTGTTAAATTTTGTTAAATAATTTTTGCAGAAGCCAACTAATATTGTTGAAAAAATCGTACATTAGAATGTCGTAACAGGTTAATACAAATTTAATCAAATTCAATATAAGAAACATCAAATTTCTTCAGTTGGGATGGTCATTTGAAATAAGGTGTATTTAATCTTTTGGCAAAAATATATAGTAGTTGTAGATCATTTAGAAAGAGCGCCTTTCTGATGTTTGGGGATTGAGCCACAACCGCCGGGTTCCGCCTTTTATATTTCCAGCCATATTTTCAATCCTTTAAAAATTAAGCTATTAACGCCCAGAAAAAATATATAACGAGAGTTTACTAACCCTAACGTTGCACTCGACATGGCAGTGACAACAAGTGGACAAACGCTGAATTAAAATTCTTGATTAAAGCCAAACTATTGTCAAAAGAATAATTTTGAAAAAAATAGCTAACTCAATTTTTTGAGCAACAAACGTCATATCCCTCGTTAGAACAATACCAAAAAACACAAATTTTGTTAAATTTACATATAATTTTTAAATCAAGACCTACTAACTAGTATTTATTTGACAGTTAATTAGCCTAAAATGTACAGTAAAGTTTAATATTTATTTTTATGTTATGGACTACTTTAAAATAAATTTTAAAAATGTAACCAGTAAAAAACTAAAATTTTGCTGAATATAATAACAAAGGACTGGTATCATTATGCCAGAACTGTAAAAGGTTTTTGGCCTTACGTTGACGATACAGAACCCGGAAAATGGTTCAGAGGATTTGTGGCTCAAGGCACTGCAGACAACATGTGGGAAATGTGGTTCATATACTTTGCCACTAAAAAAAGAATCTACACGGTATACAGTAACTTGAGATACGTTAATGGAGATAAAGCTGATTCATGCGTTAGTTATAACAGGTCTGGACTGATCAACTAAAATTTTTGATATTTCTAAGTAATTTATAAACTGTAAGATTAGTGTCGTTGATTTGAAATATTTTCGTGTCACAAAATTTTATATAAATCGCAAAACAGACGTGAAATAGGATTGCACTTTCCTACTAAAGGACCTGAAAATTTATGTAAACTTTTGGAAAAATGGGATACAAAATATGAATCAATGCTACCAGATAACCCAATTAAGTTGGACTGGTTTGGTAATGTAAATAAAAGCTTATAAGTAAATTAATAAGGTTTGTTTTTATGTATTGTTTTTTTTTTATTAAGTTTCATTTTTGATACTTGCAGAAATATTTTTTTTTGTAGATGGTCAATTTTTGTATTAAGAAAATATAATGTTATCAAACCTTTTTCATTGCAAATTAATATACCAATAGCTTATAAGTCAGAAAAATAATATTTTTTAAAAATAAATCTGGTTAAAATCGATACTTTTCTGATAGTAAATACTTTTATTTTCAGGTTTTCAGCATACAACGTTTCATTATTGCGCTCTAGTTTGAACGAAACACTTCATCATACTTAGGTGTTCCTACATGCATGTAAAATATTGCTAATAAATGTTATAATTTTTGCTGTTAGAAATTTCAATTATAAAATTGTAAATAGTTGTCACTGGTAATTATTAAAATTTGTGATATAGTAATTTTTGTTGATTAATTTTTGAGATAACAACTGGCTCGAATATCCACCTTAAATTTGATGACGTCGTCAATTATTTTTTCTACTCCGATTTTTGCACCAGGTCCTTATAAAAACAATAAATAAAATCAGAGTTCTTGCAAAAAAAACTTAATTCACGTCAAATTGCTGAGATATTGTCAAATGTATAAATTTAGTTTGCGTATTCGATTGTGGGCCAATACATGGTCAAGATTGTGGGCCTATACATGGTCAATTTATTAACAGTTCTATTTATTGTTATTAGTGTATTTCTATAACCCATATATATGTATATATAAATTATATAACAATTTTCTAATAATATATATATATAAGTATATATAAATGATCCTGTGGCTTGCCCAATACCACAACCGCCTGCATCATTTACAATCGATGAAGATATGAATGAAAAAAGTGATATTTCGTTCTCTGCAAGTGATTCAGACTCTGACTACAATGCTGCTCCAGAAGAACATTATTTGATTAATTATGCTGAACTTGGTGATCTTGTAAGTGATCCAGCACTGACAAAAGCGCAAGCAGAGCTACATGGTTCACGTTTGAAGGAATTTAACTTACTTGCACCTGGTACAGCAACAGCGAATTTTTGTCGCAGGCATAAAATTCTTGTTTAATACTTTGAAATGAGTGATAATATTTGCTACTGTACAGATGTGGATAGTCTTATGTCGAGTCTTGGAATTAAGCATATTGTTGAAGAATGGCGACTGTTCATCCACTCGTCAAAAACTAGTTTGAAGGCAGTATTGTTGCACAACAGAAGTAGGTATGCATCAATACCAGTAGGCAATTCTACCCATATGAAAGAAACCTACAAAAACATGTCATTACTTCTGCTAAAAATACGTTATCGTGAATACAATTGGAGTATATGCTGTGACTTAAAAGTAGCAGCTATTCTGACAGGGTTGCAGGCAGGATACACAAAATACTGCTGCTTCCTATGCGAATGGGACAACAGAAAAAGGATGCAGTATTACGTTAAGAAGAATTGGTCAATCAGAAACAAAATGCAGCCAGGAAATAAAAATGTTTAATATTCACCGTTGGTTGACCGTGACAAAAATCTTATGCCACCAATTCATATAAAGTTGGAACTTATGAAACATTTTGTAAAAAAAATTAGACTGCGACAGTGATGCATTTCAGTACCTGCGCAACAAGTTCCCAGGATTGAGTTATGCAAAGGTAAAAGAAGGTGTATTCATAGACCCACAAATAAGAGAAATTATATCTTCGAAGACATTCTTAGTTCAACTGAAAAAGAGGCGTGGGTGGCATTCAAGTCAGTTGTATCTAATTTCCTAGGAAATAAGAAAAAAGCCAATTTCGTGGATATTGTACAAAAATGCATTAGTGCCTAAAAAGATCTTGGCTGCAATATGTCTCTGAAAATACATTTACTCAACTCCCACCTAGACTTCTTTCCAGAAAATCTAGACGCAGTTAGTGACGAACACAACGAGCGCTTTCACCAGGATATTTCAGTGATGGAGTCACGCTATCAAGTTCGATGGAGTGCAGCGATGTTGGCAGACTATTGTTGGACCCTTCAACGTGATTTATTAACTCATCAATACAAGAAAAAGTCCACAGCTAAGAAATTTCTACTATGAACATGTTTAACAAATTTTTATAAAAATTAGACTTTCAATTGAATTTTTTTTAAATAAGTATTATTATTTTAGTATTTATAGCCGTGTTTATGTTTATATTTTAAACTTGTGTAAAAATTTCCTGGAAATAAAAATTTAGTGTGAATAAAAAAAATCCCTTACGTGTTATAATAAATAATTAAAATACAAAATTTAAAACGAAGTTATTTCAAAAATGGGACGTGATAGAAAAAATCGGTTTGCATATTTGAAATCAGCATGTTCAAATTTACTTAGATTATTGTATGCCAAGATATCTGCAAACAGTTTTTTTTGTTCAGAAGTTGCATCTCATGTAAAGTCTTAGAACATTTTGTCAATGAAGCACTGTTGCTGCATTTTAACAATAATAGTTTGTTTAGTTCATATCAATATGGTTTTATGAAGGGTAGATCTACGACTTTGTTGAAAATATTGGATAATTGGTTGGATGCGGTGGACAATGGGAAGGAGGTGGATGTTATTTACACGGACTTGATAAGGCTTTTGGTGAGGTGTCCCATACAAAATTGTTACAAAATTAATTCTATGCAGAGTTAGGGTTGATGATAAAATAATCAGCTAGATTAGAGAATATTTGAAGAATAGAAAATTTTCCGTTGTGGGTAATGATGTTCGATCGGAATGGCGTTGTGTGCAAAGTGGGTTGCCTCAAGGGAGCGTGTTGGGGCCAATTTTGTTTATCATTTACATTAATGATTTGTTTGATGTTTGTGCTGATAGTGAAGATGTTCGATTGTTTTATTTGCAGATGACGCATAATTGTTCAAACGAATCGAATCTCATGATGATGTCAGAATTACCCAGAATGTTTTGAATTTGATTGTCAAATGGTGTGAGAGGAATGATGTTTTGTTGAATGTGGAAAAATGTGTTAGCATGAGGTTTGGCAAGAATAATGATAAAAATTTGTATTGTATTAATAATTTAAATCTTCATTGTGTGAATAATTTCAGGGATCTTGGTGTTACATTTAATAATAATTTAAAATTTGATGATCATATTTTTACAGTTGTAAAGAAAGGATATAATATATTGGGCATGATTCATAGGCGTTTTCAATATCTCATTAAAAGTTCTTTCTTGATTTTATATAAAACAATGGTAAGATCGGTTCTAGAATATGCGGTTCCAGTGTGGTCGCCCTGGAAGGTAGAGATGGTAGAGCATATTGAAAGGGTTCAAAAGAGAGCAACA